CAGAATGCAAGCAGTTGTATCGTCCTGGGAATCGATGATATCAGAAACATCCTGAAGATTCCCGGTGAGAATATCTCGCTCCTGATAATCCGGTCTACCTTGCATTGTGAGCATTCCCAGGCGTCCCAATTTGAGATATCCAGAATGCAACGTTTATTGCGAGAAATCTTCGCAGATGAAGCACGTCTTGGCAATGGATGCAGCGAAAATCACTAAAATTGCACCATCCTTTACACCGTGAATAAGATAACTTTAGTTATGCAGCTGTCATTCAGGAGAAGGCAAATGTGTAAAACCAAAACCAAAAACATTAAACCTCGTCAGCCCCAACAGGGTCTAAATTCACACATTCACAACCGCTGATGCATACATTGATTTCGCAGCAAATCATCAAGTGTAAAAATATAACGCGACGGGATACAAGGCAGCAGCATGTTAACGATTACAGTGCACGGAATATAATGCCATGTTTGTACACAACAGCTGCGCCATTCGGCTGAGGATAGCTTATCGTTCGAACACAGTGTGCACTGTTATGTTCCCATTGGGTGAGGTAATATTCCATCGTGTCAACTCAGGTGGTTGATATTTGTCTGCCGGATGACCGGTCAATTCACGTGGCTTCTCTTCCAAACTGATCTGGTAAAGCCCACCTAGAATGATTCAAATAAGTAAGCCTTCCATCGGAATCAGCTGGAAATTTTCCACAATGTCACAACTAAGGGTTACACATAGTTTTCAGTTTGAACTGTTTTCAACTCAAATACTGCAGTTGCACTTGAAGATACATGGGCATTGGACGTTTGGCCTGAATGCTGTATGTTCTCAGGTGGTGCAACACGCAGGGCGAAGTAATGTCCTGACCTGATATCACGACCCGCGTTACTTTATAGCACTTTGGATTCTACTGGACTTTCTTTGTAAACTAGCGCAAAGCTAACCTTCTACACCAGTTTACAAGTTAGAACACCGCAACTCACTTTTTCCATTCTAAAAGGGTACCGATTTTTATGTATGCTGCAGTTGCAAGATACATGGGCATTGGACGTTTGGCCTGAATGCTGTATGTTCTCAGGTGGTGCAACACGCAGGGCGAAGTAATGTCCTGACCTGATATCACGACCCGCGTTACTTTATAGCACTTTGGATTCTACTGGACTTTCTTTGTAAACTAGCGCAAAGCTAACCTTCTACACCAGTTTACAAGTTAGAACACCGCAACTCACTTTTTCCATTCTAAAAGGGTACCGATTTTTATGTATGCAATTCAATGGCCTAACCCAAACAAGAAAGTACAATCATCAACACGACCTCGGTGCCGCGTGCCCCATTCAGCGCGAGCAAAAAGCGCAGACGGAAAAAGAAAATCGCAAGAGACTGTCAACCAGAACAGAGGAAACATACACACAAACGCTTCAGCCGCATTACATTCTCACCCACCGTTCAAAGCCAAATCGTGCACATCGGTAACAGAGGTTTCTCAATTTAACAAAAGGGATTCAGAGTGTGCACATTACTGTGCTTTGCCGGCAAACACGTGGTTTCGACTATATAACAAATGACGTCAAATTGACGTTCATTGTAATCCTGGCATTTCTCTCTATCCTCGTGCATTACGAGCCTAACACCCATCCGCACGGAACGGAATTTCCAAGCTGGTCAAATTTTTGTGGTTTTCGCTGCATCCATTGCCAAGACGTGCTTCATCTGCGAAGATTTCTCGCAATAAACGTTGCATTCTGGATATCTCAAATTGGGACGCCTGGGAATGCTCACAATGCAAGGTAGACCGGATTATCAGGAGCAAGATATTCTCACGGGGAATCTTCAGGATGTTTCTGACATCATCGATTCCCAGGACGATACGACTGCTTGCATTCTGCTTGTATCCGGCACGAACCAACAATGCTGCTGCACAGCAATGCGATATCCGAATTAAAAAGTATTCCGTACTCCATCTACTCAACATTGTAGCTTTCATTTCAAAGCTGACTCGTGCACTTTCGTTACGCAGCACGTCATAGTCCAAATTAGCAAGTTCACTTTGCGAGTCCATCTGTTTCCAAATGGTGAATGGATTATAACGCACTCCTAGTCCTACTGTAGGTGAGCACTAATGCGGACGCTGCCAGGATCGAGATCGGAAACTGGTGTTTTCTGAACCTTTTTGTTAATTAGTTTTGATCTGCTTGTAACATGCTGAAGAATTTCTGGTAGTCCGTAGAGGAAAATGTTGGCAGCTCTGGTGGCGTAGATTGTCGCTGGCTTGTTCGCTGACCTGGACAATTTGATTGCTAGCATTCCATCATCAACCGAGGTAACATCATCAGTGCGTTGCCGGGTTAGGGTAGTGGTGTGTTGCGGTGGGTTAATTGTTGCGCCTGGTAGGCTGCTTGTCAATCGTTCATTCACACATTCCAAGTACATTCTGTCAACAGCAGTAGTACCAACAATTCATATGCGCAAACGAAACAAACGGGCAGAAGACAGCGATAGCCTGTCTACGCCAATGTTCACCAGTGGACGGGGGGATGATGCTCCGTTTATATTTGTCATTTGTGCAAGCTCCTCAAATGCCCGCGGATTGATTTAACCAGATCGACCGTCAAATAGTCCATTTGGCGCTGGGAGCGGCATTTTTGAAACTCTGCCTGTGTCAGCGGGTGCAATTCATGGCTGACGCGTCACAGTTTTTTACGAGCATATATGCCATGCAAACCAGCCAAATACATTGGGAACACATTGGGAAGAAATAAGGTTGAGATAAAATACGCGTCTCGGCAGCAATGAGGGTCTTCGGCGAGGTAGACAAATGGAAGAATGTATGATGTTATAGGAGAGCGCGGAGGATGGTTCCGAGTATGTGGAAGGACATTCTTCTTTCTCAGTGGTTGTGAAGTCATTGCGCACGTCTGGTAGAGCTATTGTGGACTTGTGGGAAGGGAACTGAAGCTCCACTGCCTATGGTTGTCTTTATTGCTTACACAATTGACACTGCATCTCACCTGAACAGACGGCATGACATCGCAATCCAGTGTGATGTGGGGGAGTGATTTAGGTCGTGTTGCCCGGTGTAAAGTGGGTGGTCAACATGAGATTCATACAACGTGGCTGCACGACATTCTTCGCCCACCCGATACTGGTCACCGAATTTCAGCTTTTTTGTCCCCTAAGGTTAGTACGGGAAGTTGAGTGCGGTCCAGATATTTCGCTTATTAAATCTGCCTGGATGAGGCAGATGCGTGTGTGATTGAACATGAAAAAATCGTAATTCATAAGAGAAGTGCGTGAATGATATAGACGAAAAAGCGAGCGCAATCGCCATGCTAATAAGTGCCATGGAGTGGTTCTGTGCGTGAGCTTCATGAATTTCCAACTAGTTTCTTCAAACTTGAAATTTCACCGAGTGAACAAATGCCTCTCTCGCAAAACCACACGCGAATAATTTTTCAAATAAGTTCCAACCAAATCCCGCCCCATGAACTGTATGTTTGATGTGCTGAGCGCGCACTCTCTCCACTACATTGCACTTGTTCCGCAATAAAATTCACCAAGTTACAATGCACTATAATGGGGACACAGAAAGGTTTTTTCTAAGGTCACGTTTGGTTAATTGGTTGAGTACCCGAGAACAGTTCGTAATGCTGCCGAAAGTTCTACACCACTGCTCAATGCTGCACATCATCCTGCGCGGCCTGAGATGAGGCAGCAGCTAGTTGATGATTCAAGTGCACAGAATATAGTACCATATTTTTCCTCCGTAGCAGCACTATTTGGTCGAGAACAGTTGAACTTGAGTACTCACTATGCACTGCTATGTTCACACTGGATGAATAACCTTTTGATTGGGTCAACTCAGGTGGTTGAAAATGGCCGGCGGTATGGCCGATTAATGCAGGTTGCTTTCCTTCCAGACTGCTCTCGTCAACTCGCACGGATTGATTCACATTGCCATGCAGTTCCATAATGACTAGTTTGATCACGTTACCCGGCTAAAGTAGATTCCCTGAAACTATTGGGTACCAGCGATTCCTGATCACTCTGGCACTATCTCCATTTGTCCTGTCGGTTTGATTGCAGCATGACAGATTTAGTCATTTGAAGTGACTATGTTCGCAGCCCGACATTAAGTGCCTTCCCCACTAGTTTACAAATAATTATGGGCAATGCTCACATCTTAGTTGGACGTACCTGAGGACCCCTCTGAATAATGGTGTAGCACGAGAACTGTGATTGCCAGAATTTGAGTCGGAATTTATGTGGACGTGCCGGTGACCTCGCCTCATAACGTAGAATCCAGGAGTGATTTTACCGCTATCACGAAGACATTCAGATGGATTTGAGTCAATGGTCGTGGTGTTTTCGACAACGTAATGTGCCCCCAGCCCAACAGGTCGATATTTTCTGGCCGTTTGACCTATTAGTGCGCGTCGGCTTTCCCCAGACTGCAAATTGACAAACTCCGCTTTAATTAAACGGAATAAAACTTATATCCAAGGTGGACTTGATGGAGGATTCCTGTGGCCTAATACAATATTGAACATGACTGCAGACATTGAACGCTCAGAACCTGATGCTTCGTCAAAAAGCGAGAATATAATCGCCTTTGCCGACACTTCACATTATCGTTTCTCAAGCGCATCGAACAGGTCCTCAAACTGCTGTATCCTTGTTTTACACACCGGACGATTTTGGTCACCTCGATCGGGGACCGAGATATAGTTTCAGGTGTCTTACCCATATCGCCTTACAAAATACCGGACCCGTTGCTCTTCTTTAAAAATATAGGATTGTTTTTATTGCGCTTTTATTGATCTCAAAAGAGTGTCACGGAACCTGTTGCTGTCTGACCACATCGTCCAATTTGTGCGGCCTTTGCTTCGTGGCCAGATCACCTCGATCGGGGACCGAGATATAGTTTCAGGTGTCTTACCCATATCGCCTTACAAAATACCGGACCCGTTGCTCTTCTTTAAAAATATAGGATTGTTTTTATTGCGCTTTTATTGATCTCAAAAGAGTGTCACGGAACCTGTTGCTGTCTGACCACATCGTCCAATTTGTGCGGCCTTTGCTTCGTGGCCAGATGCGTGTGAAGCACCTTATGCATCTTGCACGGGAATGGCCCGAGTCACCACTGGCCATGTAGCAGTCGCAGGGATGCTTCAACAATATGCATCATCTTCGGATATGGAAGCTACCAACCAAATGAGCCCCGTTTAGCTTTACCAGGGTGGTATGCATACTTCTTTCATTCACGGGTATTCCACTCAAAAATCGATTCCGTATACTCAGTTCCGAGTAAGTGTTTGAATCTGCTGTTATTCAGCTATGAGATGCTTGTAAGGAGTGATAATGCACACCAAAAGTCACACTCTAGCCACCTAGATCATATCTTATAGTCCGGTGTGGCCAGGTAACATTTTTCTCAGCAAAGGGCCCATGATCATACGTTTGAGTGCTGAGTAATCTAATCATAGGTTTCAAGAATTAACTGTGGTCACCAAGTGTTCAGAATTGTCACTAGTCTTATATTGGGAACAACCAGAGCTTGGCCAATAATTGGAGACAATCTGTTAAAAATAGACTATTTCCCAAAATTTTCATCGAAGTCTCTGTGAGGATTCACCAGTGGACAAGCGGTTTAACATAAGATGACTTGACCCAAAGTGCTCGATTTAAGGATACCGTTATAAGTACCAGTTTGTCATTAATTTTGGGTTATTCCTGGCCAGACGGTTTACAGCTTGACGACAAACAGAAGTGTTATACGCTTGGAAAAACCCCAATTCTCGTGTGATGCTCAGTGCTGGTTACGCCCGATAGGCCACAAGAGGCTTGAGCTGTTCCTTGGCGTGGCCGCGGTCACCAAGGAAAACTCACGATCATCATTTCAGGTGGAGTTGTCCACACACATTCTGCGCTTGTCTTCGTCTCTGCTGCTGCTGAATCAGACTACATATTCTGGATTAGTTCACCATCGCTTCAGTTATAAATGACAGTGTGATACTGCAAATTCTAACATTGCATTGACTACGGCACGCATATGTGACGCATACGGGATCATGTTTTGGAAGCGAAGTCTCATTGGATCATCATATCTGGTTGAGCAAACTGTTAGCGAGATGTCAATTGCGGATAACAAGCTGCAGACTAAACCATACTCACCCACATCCTGGAGACACCAAGAGAGAATAACACGATTACTCCCCGCTAATATAAATTTCTGCAATAGCTGTTTTGTTTCGGAGCATGGAGTTTTGCGCTCGACAACGAGGCTGCTTTATTCCCCACAGAACGTTCTCTGAAGTAAACCGGTTCATTAGAGCTGTCATGTTAATGCGCTGAATAGCGGGAATCGAAGTGCACCATAATCTCTGCGGCAAATAGCACATAAATCCACAAATCAAACTATTGCAGCATTACCTCTTATTGACTTTTCGTGTGTGAGAAACGGGAAACACAATGGGTATAATGTCTGATGCATTTTCATTAAAATTAGTCAGGCATGCGTCCAGTTGTGTAGTTTTCAATTATATTTTTATTTCCTCCGTGTGTGACTGAAAGCCAAACGGGAGTTTGAAAATTGTGAATATTTACTTTCACGCCCAACCATGGGACAGCGTTTTATGGTACGACTGGATGTCGTTTTAGAGTCGTCAGTCCGTTTGTCAGAGTGACTGGTCGTATTCACCGGCAAATTCAGAAGACGAATATACTGCCTCCCGCATCAAGGGCAAAAACTGTGTCTACCGCACGACTCCGATAATCTAAACTAATTCGCTCAGGCAACATTGAAGTTTGTCAGTTTCGTTGGTTCTCCATCGAACTTCATCTAGGCCAATAAGTGTGGAAGCACCCTTTGGTACCCACACAAACTCTGGTTTCGACAAAGTGTGATGTATGTTGCAGGGGACATCCACAGCCATCGGACGTCCGATTACCGGCGCGCGGACGATGCAGTATCTGTCAGAATTGAGCACACACATTAAAGGCATCAACTTGTGCGGGCGTGGGCCCATGAAAGAAATGTTGCAATTGTGAACAGGTCACTGTAAAATCCCGTGTAGGTGAAGGTTTCGAAACCTGAAAATCGTCGGATATTCGTGGATCACCTGATATCAGCGACTTTCCTGTTTGCACTTTAACGTAACATTTGTACTATAATTGCTCGCTTCTGTAACCATGCCCTTCATTGATAGCCCGCTTTCCGCTGGTCCCGTTGAGGGGAAATAACATGGGTGGTAGGTTTTCATGCATGGACAACAATAACCGCCATAAAATGAATAAAAATTTGCATGTGGGTGTGAGTACGAAACAAGGTGTTCGCAAAAACCATGCATACAGAATCACCAATGAAAGGCTAGTATGATAGAAAACAAGTATACTTTGCTTAGACAGTGATGCTAAACCAAGCAATCGCTGGACCCCAGAGGACTCGGAATATGGGAAAACTAACTAACAGTTTGTACCATATTTTAGGCAACCATCAGTTAAACATTGTTTATTCAACTAATAACACGGTTTCGCTAAGTGGTACCTTGTTGTGAGCATCCAGAAATAAATACGAGTAGGCACCATTTGTTCATCGTCAGTGCTGGTTTCCCCATGACCTTAGGTAGAAACCAAGTTTGCCTGCCTAGGGTGAACTAGAGTCTCTTTCTAATGCCCGAATACGACATACCTTGGCAGACGTGCTTCCTAGAGGAAAACAGCCCATCACGTTTTGGAACGCACCAATTCCATCAGACAATTTCAGTGCATTTACTTGTATAATCATTTTCAGTCGTTAGAATTGAGAAAGTCTTGAATCGCTACGAATGTAAGCCGGACACTTGTGACTTTTCAATATCTCTCTTTGGTTTCAAACATATGCGTTGATTTAAAGCTTGGAAATAAATGCAGCTTTGCAGCAGATGAACAATCAAGACGCACCTGTTGTATCATGCCCATTGGATTACGGGGATAAAAAATTGCCATCCCAGTAGAGATGAAGTTCTCCTGACGTCGCCGATTAACAAGCCAAGAGATGATGCACTTCATTAAACAACACACGTTTTGCCTACCCCTATGGTGTCAACGCAGCCTTTAAGCACCCAAAATGAGAAGATCTTAGATAGCTTATTTTCATCAGTTTATGTGACCGAAAAGTCTAGCGGCATTAGCTGAGTGTTCTGTTTACATATCTAAACAAAATGGCAGTCATCATCACCAGAGACAGCAACATCGGTGTTGACGCCGATACTTCACAGGCGTGCAACCACAATGCTTATTTAACTGTGAAGAGAAGCAAAACTTTGAACGAAGGAGGGCGTGATGTTTTGCCAACTTGTTTTTGTGCTTACATCTTCCAAAGTAATCAAACTGGAACAAACCTGATTGCACGAACGCCATCGACATTGGTCAGGCTTTGTGTATCTTTGTTCCGACAGCCAGGCTCATGGAAGAGGTTGTGGGAGCCCCCTGTACTGGAATGTGTAACGCACTAACACCGCCTAGACACTGTGATCCCTTTCGCACAATTTTGTCATATCACACGTTGTCCATCCCGATGTTTTCGCTTTTGGAATGAGGCACGGGAAACACTCGTCTCAGCAGATGATATGTTGACATGCGTAGCATAAGGCCGCGTCACCTGAGTTCATTGCAGCGGATGATTTCCGTGACTAAGTACATGCTGTACACACAATTGACGGTTTCTCGATTACCACGTGATGTTTTCGTCGACGGCACCCGGCCATGTTGTGAGTTCGCCGACGGCACCTGCCACCAGCAATATTTTTGAGAAGTCAGGAAGGGAGACTACGTTAAAACATCGTCCGGGTTATTCATGCATCGCCACCATATAGTGATGCAGCCCGTTGACGTGGCCTGAAACCTGCGTTAACCAAAGTCCAGTGGCATGTTTGTTGACGCCTCACGTGACTCGAAACAGCAAACAGCTCCCTAAAACTGAGCGTCATGCAGTGCTCACCTCGAGCGTTCCAGTCAG